ATATAAATAAAATACAATATATATATTGACACCTATTTTCCAAAAATGAAAGTAATTCAAAATATATTCTGGTACAGTATTTCTGCCTATATACATGTATCATTATCCCATTGTAAATATTTTATGGAGAAAAATAAATGTACATCTGAATACGACAAGAGATTCCTAATGTATTAAAATAAATTTTATTTCCTTTCTCTGTTAAAATATTACTTTACGTTTGACAAAATATACGCAAAATAATATAAAGAAGTATGTGTAACGGTTAAAGATGCGCGGTAAACGCGTGGAGAGCGCCCCGTAGATGTATCGCGCATGTGCATAGATTGCCAATTGTTCGTAAGTCTCGTCAGGAGCAGGGTCTGAGATAAATAAGTTTTTCCGCTTGTCGAACAGAGGGATAAAGGTGGAACGGAGAGGGAGAATTCTTTCGATTTCTCAGTGGAAAACTGTTTTCCGTGTGCTGAGGGCCGGTGGCCGAGTGATGCACGCATATGTCTAGGCTCGGAGGGACTCAGGTTCTGGCTACAGCACAGGTGAAGAGGACGGCCGCTGATCACACAGCGGTGGTAAACTTCGGTGCTGTAAAACGCAGCAAGCTGTCCGCCGTTGCGGTCACGGAGATCAACGAAATTGAAAACATGACGGATACGGCTGCAGCCACGACTGATACTCAGAAGAGGGCCAATTTTTCGGCATTAACCGTTGGGAATCCAAACGGCGTCAACAAGATTTCACCAAGTTTGGCAAGTGCGAAGCCTGGTACAGCTAGAAAGCTCGTCATCAAAAACTTCAAAAGTAAGCAAGACCATGGGACTACCTAACCTCAAAATCAGCTGCTTTACCGATCGCGAAGATTCGTGGTGTAATTTATGGTTGGCAATGTGCCTTCGGGGATTGCGACATTCCTTTTAATACGACTTTATAAGTTTTGTGACGCTCTGTCACCCTGCGTACTCTAGCCAAGGACGAATTAGTTCTAAATGCAATTAATAATACTAAGCTGACATAACCTAACCTGACACCACGAACAATTGAAACAGGATAAACGTCTTTAAGACGCATTATTTCTCTTTTTTATGCAGTTTCCAGAAGTTTCAGACTACCATTGATTGTACATTTAATTAAAGATATCGGTTCGTGTATTTACGTCTTTAATTTTATCGGATGACTAATGCAGACCAAGTATGAATGAACTATTTTAGTAGAGATGCAGTAGTAAAATCTCAGAGCGCATTTTATGATCTCATCTTTTTGTTTTTTTGGTTCTTTATTTTTGTTTCTCCGAAAATAAATCGTTTACAAAGGGATATGGAAAACACATTTCTCGTTGTGTAGTAACTGTGACAAAAATTTAATGAATTGATAATTTGGAATATTTGTATGTTAGTTTTTACTTTCATAAAAAATTTAATTGTATACAATTTTATAACATTAATATCAAAAGTAATTTTACTAAATGGCATAAAATCATTTCATATATACTTTTGTATTATTGTTGTTATTATACATTTTTTGTATAATGTTTGTACTGTTTGGTATTTTTCTATAACAAATTATAATTGTATATTTAAGAATATTTATGAAAATAAGCATAAATGTTTATATTATAAATTTTGTGTAGACAAACCAAAATTACCAGAAAATTATCAAGAGCAAACATGGGAGAAATTACAAGAAGCTGTAATTGCAATACAAACCAGCAAAAGTATTCGTTATTCATTAGAAGAGCTTTATCAAGCAGTTGAAAATATGTGTAATCATAAGATGGCATCTACGTTGTATACAAAACTGGCTAGGTTAACAGAAGCCCATGTGCAAGCAAATATAGAACAGTTTTTAGCAGAATCAATGGATAGGCATATATTCTTAAAAAAAATGAATGAGTGTTGGCAGTCACACTGCAGGCAAATGATTATGATTAGAAGTATTTTTCTATATTTGGATAGAACATATGTATTACAGAATCCAAGTATTTTATCCATTTGGTATGTTTTTTTTCTTATTTAAAGCACTGAATTTTTTTTATTCTATTTGCTCAATATGTGTATTATTTTAGGGATATGGGATTACATCTGTTTAGAGTATATATTGTCCTAAATAACTTAGTTCAAACCCGTACAGTAGAAGGACTACTTATGCTCATAGAAAAGGAACGTCAAGGTGATACAGTGGACAGGACACTTCTTAAATCATTGTTAAGAATGTTATCAGATCTACAAATCTACCAAGATGCCTTTGAAACTAAGTATGAATTTTTTTAGATATTAATATAAGCCAAAATAATATATTATTTTTATTAAACTTTTATTTTTATAGGTTTTTGGTAGCTACAGAAAGACTATATGCAGCTGAAGGTCAACGACTGATGAATGAACATGACGTTCCTGAGTACTTAGCACATGTGGATAAACGACTTCAGGAGGAAAATGAGCGTTTGTTACATTATTTGGATGCATCTACAAAGTAAGTATTATTTAAAGTGTTTTTGTAATGATTAAAGTATATTTATCTAATTCATATTATTCTTAATTTTATGTTATAGATGGTCACTAATACACACAGTGGAAAAGCAATTGTTGTCTGAACATATTAGTAGCATTTTACAGAAAGGATTAAGTGGTTTACTGGATGAAAATAGGATTAATGATTTATCTTTACTTTATAATTTATATCATAGTTATAGATCCAGAGAAAGATAAAACTATGGTTCAAGAACTTTTAGATTTCAAGGATAAAATGGATAATATAGTTAATACATGTTTTCATAAAAATGAGAAATTTGCTAATAGTTTGAAAGAAGCATTTGAAGCTTTTATTAATCAACGAGCAAATAAACCAGCTGAATTAATAGGTAATATTAATACCCTCCTGTGAAAATAATAATCAATAAAATTCATTTTTATAATTATAGCAAAATTTGTTGATTGCAAATTGAGGACGGGTAATAAAGAAGCAACGGAAGAAGAATTAGAAAGATTATTAGATAAAATTATGGTATTATTCAGATTTATACATGGGAAGGATGTGTTTGAAGCATTTTATAAAAAAGATTTGGCTAAACGTTTACTAGTTGGTAAGTCAGCTTCAGTTGATGCTGAAAAATCCATGTTATCTAAATTGAAACAAGAGTGCGGTGGTGGATTCACCAGTAAATTAGAGGGAATGTTTAAAGACATGGAACTCAGCAAAGATATTAATATCGCTTTTAAACAGGCAAGTACAAGTTGTTACATAATATATTTTCAAATTTAATACGTAAATTTTTAATGTTTTGTAACTTGTACAATTTTTTAATTGTGAAACTTTATATGAATTAGTATGCAGGGAATTTGCAAAGCGAATTATCTGCTAGTAATTTGGATTTAACTGTTTCAATACTTACAATGGGTTATTGGCCAACATATCCTGTAATGGAAGTAACGTTACCACCAGAAATGGTTCAGTATCAAGATGTATTCAATAAATTCTATTTGGGAAAGCATAGTGGTAGGAAATTACAATGGCAACCTACTTTAGGACATTGTGTACTAAAAGCTTGGTTTAATCAGGTATTGTTGATAATTTGTTATAACAATATGTTAAATATTTTAGTACATATTCAATACAAACATAATTATTTTAACCATATTTAAAAACAGGGCAATAAAGAACTTCAAGTTTCATTATTTCAAGCATTGGTTTTGATTTTATTTAATGATGCTGATAATTTATCCCTGGAAGATATAAAGGCAGCAACAAATATAGAAGATGGTGAACTTCGAAGAACCTTACAATCTTTAGCTTGTGGAAAAGCTAGGGTGTTACAGAAAAATCCAAGAGGAAGAGATGTTGCAGATAATGATAGATTTGTGTTTAATGCAGACTTCACAAACAAATTGTTTAGAATTAAAATAAATCAAATTCAAATGAAAGAAACGGTATAAGATAGGTCTTTAAGTTTTTACCTTTTGCATAATAAAAGATACTAAAATATATTTATTACTGATTTCAGAATGAAGAACAAAAAGCTACAGAGGAAAGAGTCTACCAAGATAGACAGTATCAAATAGATGCAGCTATTGTTAGAATCATGAAAATGAGGAAAACACTCACGCACAATTTGTTGATCAGTGAACTATACAATCAACTAAAGTTTCCTGTAAAAGTATGTTGTTTATTTAAAACATGGAATATTTTAAGCATTTTAAGTGCCTTATTATTCGGAAAATTTGTTTTAGCCTGCTGACTTGAAAAAGCGAATTGAATCTCTCATAGATAGGGATTACATGGAACGAGATAAAGATAATGCAAATGAGTACAATTATGTTGCATAACCTGAACCAAATGCCAAAGTCATTTCAGACTGGGTGGTCACTATGTTTCGTAGCAAAAGAGTTTGGTGTTTGCCTATTGTGAATGTGACATGTTGAACAAGAAAAAACGAGGAACATAAAACTGATTGAATGTCGGCACAATGTTGCATCATGTGGTCAGTTGATAAAAAAAATTAGAGTGAACTTCATTGTTTCGGTTTTTATAGTGCGCAATGAATACTGGACAATTAAGATCTTCTTCCAAACAGTGCTTTACCATTGGTATTCTTGTGTTGTTTCTGGATTTCGCTAAAAAGGACTATGTACAAAATATCTTAAATGGTACAGCATTTAAAAAATATATCAACAGTGTTTTATGCAGAACAATTTTTCACAGCATAAAGATTTAAGAAGATAACATAGTAAGAATATGCTAAGAATAAAAACTGCGATGGCCGAAAGTGAACAGGAATGCGTTATTTATAGCAAGTATAAAACAGTGTATTGTGGACGTTGAGCGTACTGGTCACTGAAATAATTTTAAACAATATGTCTGTTACATGAAAAAAATAATTCATTGCAGAATTTTAAAAATATTGTCGAAAGAAAAGACATAAAACATCACAATATGTGCATACTAAAAAGATGAACGCCACAAAAAACTTATTAAGGAAATAATATTATGTATTTCTATAACAAATTTTTGTACATTACCTTATAATACAGAGTTTATAAATAAGAAAAAGAATACATAATTGTACAAATAATATCCATCGTTGTTAAAACAATAGTAAAGCAATATGTGTAAATTTACAATGAATTTATTAACAATAATATGAAGCACTTTTTATATAGTGTATATATCTTATTTATAAACTGTGCATTATTGAAATTAATACCCTTAAACACGATTTTATGTACAAGTACATCCTTTTTATTTTATAGATATAAAGCAAACATAAAATACAAACAGCAAAAAGTGTTTCATATTATCATAGAATGCAAAATACTCTGCCATTAGCTTTACATTTCACTATAAAGTTATGATAACTATTTAAATGTGAATACGAGTAATATCATACTTATTTAATTACTTTTTGCATATCCCTTGGGTGAATTGTAGCTTGACAAAAGTACAAGTTTATAAAAATATATGTATCTTCTATCTTTATATACAAATTAAAAGTTAATGTGATACAAACCAATCTCTACTAGTTGTCATTTTGCGCTTTATGCGAATCAATAATGTTGAAATTAATTGAAACCATGCTGCTCTAACAATTCTATTTGAAATCATAAAATAAATCTTTTAAATTTACATATTGCAATACTATGTATGCATATGCTATGACTACAGTTTAAATTATAACATAGATATTTCTGAATACAATATTTATCTTGAATAATAAAGTATTTAGTAGGATTATACTTTATAAAAAAATTTTGGAAAGCTTAACAACTATGTTATATTCTTATATTTATGATTTTCAATATATGCTTCATTATTATGTGTATTAATTGCAAGTTTTTTAGTAACTCTGTATTACAAGGTTATTTTACAAATGGTTGTTAAAGAAATAATTTTTAACTCATGTAAATGCTGTGCAAAATAAAATTTCTAGAAAAATAAAATATAAATGAAATTGCTGTAACTATATATTAAATCAGATACAGAATTTCTTACTATCTCTTTTAGTGTGATCTAAAAACGAAAACAAGAGATTATTGTAAAAAAAAGGTCCAGTGCTTTTTTGTGAATATAAATATCTAGTTATATTGCATAAAATATGTAAGAAAAAACTTCCAACAAAAGTAAGCAAACTTACGTAACGTAGGGATCGATTGTTATTAAAAAAAATATATATGTATTATTAATACTATCGGTAAGATTTGGATCATCCAGTGGCTTGTTCAGTCGTTTTATGTCAGTGTAATTACGAAATAGCTTATTAATGAAATTTTGTATAAACACAAAGAAACATGTTGATGAACCATTAGCTAATTTTAATGGAAGTCCTGACGGAGAGTTTTAATATAAATTAAAACCATCCCAAACGCAGTACATGGTAAACTCATGCTAGAAGTCATTTTAAAATAAATACAGAGAAGACAAGATAGTATTGTCGTGTTAGAATTTTGATATTTTATTTGATTTTTTGTAAAAATAATGTAATAGAAAGCTTATTTTGCTATTTAAAATAGTCTAATAAACGATTTCAAGAATAAAATTATACAAATTAGTCTTCTCATAAATTACCTTATACTGCGTTTTGTCTGTATTACATTAAAAAATTTATTTTTGTGTAATCGTTCGTAGATTTATCAAGAATGTAAATAGGGTAAGATTCCATACTTGTAATAAAATAAAACAAAAACTCAAATGATATCTTGTCCATGATACATTAATTGCAATTATTTACATTTTATTTACAAGATAATTACGATCGAAATAGTAATATATCTGTACAATATTTATCTTAAACGCACCATTCTTTTTTTTTCTACAAATGTTTTGTTACAAAATTGTTTTCTTGTAAAAAACGTTTTGTAAATGTCATACCTCTAGATGAATACTATTATGAATATTACGTCTGAACAGTTTCCTTATTCTCTTAATTTTTGTACATGTTCCATCTTCGTATCTATCTCATAAAGTAAAGATTTCGCGAAGTTGCTAGCATTGGCTTCCTTATCCAAAAAGTCAGATACTAATTTAGAAGGAGGCTTTCCACCTCCGTGTGCTAAGCATTCGTTTCTGTATCGATTTCCTGCTGTTCGATTGAAAGGATCTGCTTTAAAGTACGTCTGCCATATCCAAGAAGCAATTGCTCGAGATATTAAATATGAATAATACTTCGCACCATACCCAACTAAATGCGAAAATCTTAATTGCCAGGCCTGTGAATAACATTTAGATTTATAATATACGTGATAAAAATTCTTTTGCTGTAAAATGTAAAAATATACTCACTGTGTTTTCAATATAGGGAAGTTCATAATATTTTCCTTGTATTTCTTTTAATATTTCAGTTGATGGTTTTTCTAATTTTCCACTATGATAAACTTGATCTAGCATGCTGTAGCATATTTGATTTTGTAACTCAGAAGCACAAAATATATTCTTTGAGGCATATAATTTTTCTAACAGTGTTGTTGGTATTTTTTCCAAAGTTTGGAAGTGTTTTGCAAATGTGAATACAACCTAATAGTACGTATTAAATGATGAAAATGTCTCGTTTAACAATTACTTAAATCGTAAAAATCTATGATTATTATTATAACTTACTCTTGGATCACTTGCAAAATATTCCATTAGTACACTTGGAACCTCTGCAAAATCTGTACTGCATCTGGTTCCAGTTACATGTTGGTACTTTGTTCTACCTAACATAGAATGCAATGCATGACCCATTTCATGAAATAAATTTTCTACAGAAGCAGGATTAAGTAGACATGGTTTGGACCATGTTGGAAGTGGTAATGATAGCATCAATACTACTATAGGATTCTGGAATCACGTATTTGTAAAATAGTTCATATTTTTTTAAATTAATATGTTTTATATTTCAAATATTTCTAATTTGTTTAAACCATACTTGATATGATCCGTCTGATAATTGCCTTCCACCTCTAATTGTAAAATGACAGTCTTGATTAGGTTTTCCTTCTCTTTCGAAGAAATCACAGTATATATAACCCAAAATAGCTTCGTTTTCGTCTATGACTGCGATTTTATGTACATTATTTGCCCAAACTTCACCCGACAAAACCGGTACATACTCCAATCGGATACCGTATAATGCTTGTATTAATATATTAATACCATCCATACAAGCACCAAGTGAAAAATATGGTGCAAATTCACTAATAGACATATTTAACCAATTTTTCTTTGCTTTTGCTGTGAAATAAGCTGTATCCCATGGCATTATTTTCTAAATATGAGAAATAAAATTTTGTAGAAACATTTAAAAATTGCGTTATGTATTCTTAGAATTTAACAAATTTGGTGAACCTGTTTTATGGGTGATTCTGCATCTTTCATCTTTTGCATTTCCTCAAAATCTTGCTTTGCTTTAGGTTTCAAATTTTTATTTAAAATATTCAGAAATTCGTGTATTACTTCGGGTGTTTCTACGGTACTTCCCTTGACGGCTCTATATTATTATCTACTTTTAGTACATATATATGACACATGTTGGCTTTGATTATTATTAATTAAAATTCAAAATGTACCGATGAACATAAGATGGAAATCCACATAATTCGGCTAAAGTATGTCTAGAGTTTAGAAGTTCTTGTAATAGATATTCTTGTTCTTGATCAGGATATAAAAATACACGATATGCTGTTTCTCTAACTAGACAGTCAGAAGAGTCTACATAAAGTCCTTGTACATATACCTTATTATCTTTTACTGTAAAACTGTAAAATGCATTTGAAATCATTGTTCAATTTTACATTTTAAATAAAATGTGTTATTTCAAAAATTACCAAACTGTAATACTTACTATTGCCTTACATTATGTGGAACAATATTAGCATCTATTGCTTTTGTATTACCAGCACCTGCCATGAATTTTTGACCTACCTAAATTCAAAAACCATAAGTATGTATAAATTTATTTGTAAAATTATTTGTGCAAATATAAGTCACATGAATAAATAAATATACTTGTAATATGTAATAATTCAACTGCACAACATCTTCCCTTATAGACTCTGGTAAGTGAATAGCAGATTGCTCAAAATCAGACAAGAACAATGTTGCAACATGATTGTCCATAACAGATGTTTCCAAAATGTCTCCATTATATACTGCATGTCTTAATGTATTATATAGTTCACGGTGAGTATTCAACCTGAAGAAATGTTTGAGCAAGTTTTTTATCTTTGTTTTTTAAGAACAATAAGGATAAGTACAACAAAATCTAATAATTTTATAACACATTAAGAAAAAATTGTTTACTTTTCTACTATGCTGCTGACAAATAGACAACTATCCTCTGCAGCTTTAACAAATTGTCTTTCTGGATGTGCAATCCTAATAAATTCTGCTAAGTCTGCAACTTTGCATAATGCATCAGACATATCATCAAAAATTTCTACCATTTTCCTTTTTCTATTTTCACTAATAGATTCTGTTATCAATGCATCTGTTTGGGATATTGCTTGATCTTTTAAAATATTAAATCCCTCTGGAGTTTTTAATTCAGGTATACCAAATAACCCCTGTAAGACATAAGAAGTTTATAACTCAATACATTATATAAAATGGATGTAGATATTTTAGAAAAAAATATATTACTCACAGTTTCCTTTTTTGAAAACTCAAATCCATATTTTTCTTTGATAACTGTATTGAATGTTGTTGCTAGAGATGACCATGTATTAACATTTCTGTGTTTTTTAAAATGTCTTGGAAATTGTTTGCTCAATACTTGAATCATTTTTTATAGTGAATTAAACAATTATCATTAATAGTGATTGTAATATTCATTCACAAATTTATAACAATCAAGATGCAATTTGAAGAACTTCCATGCAATTATTATTTGGATATTAATTTCTATACTATAATAAGAAATTATGTAGTTAGAATTTTTATTCGAATGATAGAATATGGTATATTGATGTATAATACAAAAAAAAAAGTTAATTACTATTGAAAAATTATTATAAATACTTCTATATGTAGCCACTTTCGATTCTAACATGTCGCATTCACTCTCAATGAAACAGAAAAAATATCTAATCTTGAATTTTTATTTTTGTCACTCAAACTGAAAAGTAATAAGACCACCAAAATATTATCATAAAAAAACATTGCTTTCTTTTTGTAGAAGGTTACGCACACCACGATTTATTGCATCCAACACTATACTGACAGACTCGAAATATGTGATTCTATTTTTGACTAAATGATGGCATCACTGTGATTTTAACTGCAGTCTGTAGTTAAGGATCGTGTTTAAGCCCTTCATTGAAATGGTGTGAGAATAAAATTGAAAGTGAAAAATGAAGAGAACCGGAACAGTTGTGTTTCCATAATGAAAGGGTTCAATAGATAATATATATCTTATTTGACTGATAAAATCCAGTTTCTCGCTGAGCATGACACGTCTATAAAAGCTATTTATTATAAGGCTCAATTGTTAACTGTAAATTTCGAGGTTACTTAAATACAAATGGTGAGAATAAATTTTCTCAATCATATGCATTCGTACTATTTGTCGATTGTTTGAATGAAACCAACGTAATGAGATTATATGCGCGACAATACTCTCAAGTGGAAGGGGTATTGATAGCTATACAAGGATACGTCTCGTACCGTCATCCATATATTACTTGACGACACTTTATTTTTTTTTCGTAATAATTATTATAATTCAGTGATATGTACAAAATATCTTCACCCTTGATTTTGTTGTGTGTGCAACATTTTTTATTGTATTATTTTTGTTAGTAATCATCAGTTCTTTTTTGTGTATGCAATAGTACAAAGTACTAATACCTTTATTTGAAATTTATACGTTATTATTTATTTTTAATTATTATATTCATGTATAACAATGTTACATATATTATTAAAGTTTTTTTTTTTACACAATTAATGTTCTGCGTCTTATGTATAATGTTCATTTTCTTGTAATGTATTCTTTTTACTTTTTATGTATATATATGTTATCTGTAAAATTAATACCGATCCTTATTTCTTGCAGTCTGATTCTGTGATAAAGAACGATTTATTCACTGCTGCTAAACAATTAGTGGACAGTGAGATTGAACTCATAAAGACTATAGAAAATTCAAAAAAGATAAATAATAACAATATTAAAAATACCATGTCTATGACAAACAAAAAATGTGTCAGAAAATCTTCAAAAGCATTTAATGTAAATATAAAATTATAAAAGTATAGTTACAATGATTTTTACAAATTTACACATTGTTTTATTTAATTAGGTTCGTCCATCTGCTGCATTAATAGCAGCTAAGAATGAGGCAGTGCAACAAAGGATGTTACAGGAAAAAAGGTCTAACAATGTTTTTGTGTGTGATATATATCAAAAAGCTATTGACGCATATAATACAAAAAGAAAAGAAACTGGTGTTGTATTTGATCATTCTATGGTAGATCACAAATGTGTTTGGGATCCAAATTATCCAGAGTCTTCTGCTAGATTTATACAAATTTTACAGAGATGTGAAGAACTAGGTTTACTAAATAGGTGTAAGTTTATTGCACCAAGGCAAGCAACAGAGAGTGAAATACTCCTGAAGCACACTCAAAAGCACATAGATATTTTGAAGACCACTGATGGATGTATAGATCCAGATGCTTTAGAATTATTCTCATCAAAATATGATTCAATTTTTGTACATCCTGTATGTGAATATTTATAAAATGTGAATTAAGATAATGTATTTATTTTAAATTACTAAATTTTAATACAAACTCATTTAAAATTGCTTTAGTCTACCTACAAATTGTCCCTGTTAGCTGCTGGATCAACAATAAATTTAGTGGAAAGCATTTGCAAAGAAGAAATTCAAAATGGAATGGCTATTATAAGGTAACTTAATTTTTTGATTCATTTATAAATGAAGAAGGTTGTATTATTAAAAATGTATTAATATTAATATTTTTTTTCATGTTTTAATCTATTCCAGACCACCTGGACATCATGCAATGGAGTCAGAATATAATGGATATTGTTTCTTTAATAATGTTGCACTTGCTGCTGAAAAAGCTTTAAGTAGTAATTTAGCTAATAAAATTTTAATTATTGATTGGGATGTACATCATGGGCAAGGTATTCAGCAAATGTTTTACAATGATCCACGGTATGTAAATGTTTGTATTTAAATCTGAATACTTTTCAGAATAAACTTTCTTTTTAATTTTTAAATTTTATGTAGGGTAATTTACTTTTCTATTCACCGTTATGACAATGGTGAATTTTGGCCAAATCTTAGAGAATCTAATTTCCATTTTGTTGGAGATGATTTAGGAGAGGGATATAATTTTAATGTGCCACTTAATAAAACTGGTATGACCAATGCTGATTATTTAGCCATATTTCAGCAAGTCTTATTGCCAATGGCCTATGAGGTAAATAACATGATATAGCAATTAAATTAATTACAAAGTGATATAAAAAATAGTCATATGAAGTTTAAGTGTGATTTAAAATAGACAAATTTTAATTATTCTAGTTTCAACCAGATCTTGTAATAGTGTCAGCTGGTTATGATGCAGCCTTGGGTTGTCCAGAGGTAAAATAATAAATATCA